TCAGATTAAATGTATCATTTCTGAAGCTCCATAGAAGGCAATGAAGCTGAAATTACTTCTTCATGCATGGATTACAGTATTGCATAGTGATTTTTAGGCATCCATAAAATGCAGTGTAAATAGTTTATGCTCAGTCCTAAGGGTGAGGTGCTTTGTTTATTTCTATTAGATCATGGTTATTCTGCAAGCTCAAGGAAATATCTGATTAAAAATTTTAGTATAAATGAGGGAATTATTTTGAAAAAAAAGGGGAAAATATTTGCAGAGTGATAAAATGAAAGTTTAAAATTACCTCCATTTGAAGAAAGCTGGAAAAATAGTTTAGAAATATACAATAGAATTGTGCAAGCCCAGGCAGTACAGGAAGAAATCAAGTTATTATACCCATTTTCATTTGTTCAAGACAGAAGAAAACCAGAATGACATGAAAGGCAGAAGACACATCATACCAGACAACTTTCTGATAGAAAATGGGCAATCCAAACTTGCTATCTTGTGTTCTTTCTTAGCTTATATCTGACATCCATCTGCTAGGTTTTGCTGTACATCACACCTACATAGGCTCAGTTCTTAGATTTTCTTCCTGAAGGAATAAAAAAAGTTCATTGGGGTAGAGGACAAATGGAAGTCAATAATCTTTAATATGGAACAGGCTTTATATTCAGGTTGTTTCATACCAAGTAATCAAAACAAAAAAACACGAAAAATCGGATTAGCAGGATAGGAACATAAACATTGAACACAATAATAACAGATTTAAATTAAACACAAGTGCGTAAGGAGGCTAAACCTTTCAGTCACAATCTGTTGCGTTAGTGTAGATACACAGACTGGTAAATTCTGTGGTGTCTGGTTCTTAAGGAATAAATGTCACTTTGTGTCCTCTGACTGCATCTGAAGTCAATAAATCCATCTGCTGCCTTTCACGCATGTAGAATGCATTTTCATCCCCTCCAAGCCATGTTTGTTGGCCAGCTTGCTATAAATAAATGACCTGCACAACACATTCATATCTTTGAATTTCAGACATTAATTTAAAAATGCATATTGCGTCTCTCCCAGGTACAGGAGGAAAAGGGAAGGACAATCAGCGATAGTCCTAAGGAGCTTCCCTTGCCATTATAGGTTGTCAAATGTGATTTTAAAATATTTGACAAATGATAAATAAAGACAACAGGTAATTTCAACAAGAGCAGTCTATTTTAATTTCTTTTTTGTGATACCTGCTCTAAGAGTTCCTGGTAGCGCTTCTGTAGACTGACAGAAATATGGAGAATAACACATCTCCTTCCATAAAATGAATGCAACATATTTATTTCATCATAATATGTTAACTTGTCAAAATTCATCTTCCTCATGCTACATGCCTTGATGCAACACAGTACTGTGTTGTCACCCAGCTCACCTAGAAGAAAAATTCCACATAAATCATTTTGTATCTTTTAATGCTTTGCCTTGCCAATTTTTCCTTTAAAGATGATGCCTGCGAGACATATTGTTTGGAAAAATTCTGAAGAAACCTCTTCCATTGAATCAGTCTTAACATACTAAACTATTTTTTATTTTTACCTGTTTGCATTTTTCTTTTGATGCAAATCATATTTTCTGCCTTTTTTTCAGAGAAACTTGAATTTCATTCCAATTTTGAAGAAATTCAAGCCAACCAATTGTCAATAAAGAGTGTCCCATCTTATTAAAGACCAAAACTAAACAGAATTAGTGGTCGTTATAATATTGCTTCCACATGTAGTAGGGTTGCTTTTCTTCACTGATGTGAGCATGATTCCTTTTTTAGAATAATGCTATTGCTAAGACACCCACACAACTCCCCTCTTGACTTGCTGAATTTCGAACTTATGTTTTATATCAGGTTGTTAGGAATAGAAGCAGACTGAAGAGAGAATATTTTTAAGAGAAAAAGTGCTCTTATCAATCAAAAATATAAGGATGATCTGGGTACACTCGTGCCTCATGACTGAAGTTTCAACTCTTTGTTCGCATTTTTGGTGAGAACTGAAATATCCTTCACAAGAAATTGTGGATCTCAAGGGAGAAAAGAAGGGAAGAGACTGCAAGCTATTATTCACCAGGATGTTACAAAAATATCTTCCATGTGTCAAGTGGTACGATGTAGGTGGTGCAATTTGGTATTATCTTGCATCACTACTCGTCTATCACCACACTTTTAAAATCTATCCCTGTCCTTGGCATGGTGTTTACACACAAAGTGATTTCACTTTTTACTTTACTGCAAAACAAATCCAGATTTCAAAACAATTGAAGCAGCCCAGGATAGGACTAACTAATCTTTACTAAAATTTGTAGACTTACATATACATATAAAATGGGATTTCCAAATTTTTATTTCACAGGCACTGATGGAGAGAGAAGTTTCTGTTTTAATAACCTAAAGAATAAGTTCGCAAATCTTTGCAACAAGGATTTAAAGAAAACCCATGCAGTAATATGGAACTGATTTTGGAGGTTTAAATTCAGTTATTCACAGAACTGGCTATTTTACAGCCTTCTCCTGAAAGTAGTAGGCAAAAAGCTCTCGTGGAACTTTGTCCTTCCATGACTGATGTAGCAATATGGGCTCTGGTTACCCAGGCAACTGATCAACAACTTCACCTTGGCTGTAAATGAAATGTTGGGAAGAGATTAAAGAAAGGAAACAGGAAGGAGGGAGATAATTTGAATAGAAAAAGTATAATGCCTAGGATCATGAGCAGGCAAGTAGTTTTAGTTTTTTGTCAATACAAGAAAAAGGACTTGATTCTTTCTACACAACAGTATAAAGTGGCATTTAAAGAGCTGCTAGGAGAGTTTCAAAGCCCTTACCTATTGAGTCTTACTGAAAATGCCAGATTTGAGTTATATAGAGGATAAAGGGAGTATTTTGTACAAAACAAAACATGCAGACATTATTATCTTCTGGCAGTAGGGAAGCTTTTAACCTGAGGAAGTCTAGATTGGATATCTGGGGCACAGCGTACTGTTGTGAAAATACTTAGTATTTATTTTAAAACTACTGGATAACACTGGAGGAAAACCTAGGGGTTTTTAACTTCATAATAGTGACTCTCTGATTCAAAGAGAGTGGATATACGTTATATACGAATTTACTTGAATATTATCAAAGTTACAAAGATACAAAGATTAGGGACACAATTCTGTTCTTGTTTTTCATCTATTTTGTCTCCAGTCCACAAAGTTGGAATTGATTTTTTTTAACCCTTTTACAGCAGTAAAGTCCATGGGAACCTGTTTTTTACCTTGCACTGTAGAGATCCTTTGACCACTAGGGCAGAGAGGTGTGATGCTAGGAAAAACTAGATCTGTATGAATCCCAGTCTCCAACACTCTTCATGTTTCTAAGGAGACTAGAATGGGAAACAAGGCAATAATTACAAATAGTGTGGAATGAAGTCTTTAAGCTAAAAGCTCACAGAGCATGTGTGGATATGTGTGCATATTCTATAAGGCATCTCATCTGGGACACCTTGGCAAGGTAACTGAGAATTTAGAACAATAAAAAATTAAGATAATAATCAGTGGTTTAAAACTGCACTGATTGAAAGGTGCCTTATCTTTAAAGGGCTGCTTCAGGTGCTAAAGGGATTTGCTGTTATTCTCCACTATCATCAGCCATACTGTGTTATAACTGTTTCCAGATGATATAAATTTTTGCAGGAATAGCAAATACTACAGAATACAGGTGACTGAGCCCTCTCAACTAATTGCTAAACTAACTATGAAAGTTCTAGGGCAGTCATGTGCGAAACAATACATTGAAGAAAGAAGGAAAGCATCTGAGGTCATGGAAGCTAGAGACTGAACATATGCTCTCAGCCTGATCCTCTTAGTAAGGGTGGACACTATCTTTGCTGTATAATAGGAAACTGTATCATCTCTGACATTGGTGGAACAATCACTATAATATAGCAGCCAGCACTGACACTGGCCTGAACACTGTGAATGTCCACTAGACTCACAAAAAAAGAATCAAAAGGTTCCAAAACAATTGGAATTATTTGTTCCACTTTTGAAGGTAGCCTTAATTTCTGATCATAGGAATTCCTGTCATATTTCTGTGAAGGAAGAAAGACTCTCCAACTGAATCATTATTCCATGTATAGAGAATTAGAAATTGTGATCAAGACAAGTCAAACTTTTTGTTAGGCAACACTTGGAGTGTGCTGTGTTGTTACTGTTTTACAGCAACACCTGTTTTTTACTCTCTTGACCACTATAGGCTCCTACTAAATGCATTTTTTTCATTTTTTTTCTTGTGGGAGGAAGAAGGCCCAAGGGGCTCTTTTCTGATATTTGTGTTTTGGCAATGGTTAATGCAAAAGTATCTCCTTGTGTCCCCAGTGAGGAGGAAAGCTGTGACAAAAAAGTGGGGCCTGTTTCTGAAAATAGTGCATATGTGTTTCTTTCCACTTTTATTAATCCAATTATTTTAGTGTGTGTGCTAGCAGACACGTAACTTCAGACTAAGGATTATCCTGTGACGGTACAAATTTGACTTGATGCACTGCAAATTCATAGACAAGATGTTCCTGCTGAGTATCACCAAGCAATCGTCTGTTCTTTGATCCCAAACTTTCCACCGTCTCTCTGTAGAACCTAGAATGCTGCTGCAAATACTGGTATTTGCATTAGAAAGCTTACCACACCTCAGTATGTAACCGAAAGTTAGCCTTGTCCCTTCTGTGTAGATTGGTTAAGAAGTTTTCTTGGGATTTGGGGAGTTTTATTTTAAAACTAAGGGCAAAACTTTGAGGAGCCCAAAGCATGGAGCTGACTTCTGCAGATTGTCTACTCTGAAACTGAGGAACAGTTCTCAGTGCACAGGCACAAAGTATTGTCAGCTGAGAGCACATTTGCAGGATCATTTCTCCTTTCTAACTCTGTTTAATTCTATCACTGAAATAAGGACAACGGGTCTATTTTTGGGTTTAAATGTAATTTATTATGTAATTGTTGCTCGGTAAATGAGTTTACGTGGGATACAATAGTACAGAATTTCAACTGTATTTTAAAGTCTGTGTTGCAAATCACTGTCATGTTTCTACTCGTTTAGGATCAGTGCTGTCAAATATTAACAATATACAGGAAATATGTCCTTCTTTTCAGGAAATGCTTGTATCATTGAGTCAGTAAAACTGTTTCAGCTTAAGAGAATCAGATTCAAATACCACTTAGAGACATGCCTAACATTTAAAAAACAATAAATATTAGTGGTATATTAAGTGTTTGCTTAAATTTGGAAGCAAACAGATTAATTAGCTCTGTGTTAGTCTTCTTTCCATATACAACATGATATAACAGATTGATGAAACATTTGCTATTAAACATTTTTAAAAATATTTTCAGGACATGTATGTTCTGTACAATACAGCAATTTTGGGTCTTGTACAACACTGCACATAATATGTATCTCTATGTTCTTTGTATATTATGGGGGTGTATTCCTTGATAGCTTGGAGGAGAAAAAACAAACAAAAAAAAGCTTATGAGGATAAACAACATTATTTAATTTTCATCAGCAGAGACCATGTTATTTGGTTTTGAATCCTAAACCACTTTATTTAAAATTTAAATTTATTTAAATTGAAAATATATATGGTATCACCAAACTGATGAAACTTATGATAGTAACCCTATACCTCAAAATGTCCCCTTTTCCTGCCTTGTAACTGGAGACAGGCTAGAAGATGTAGACTGGATTCTTTATTACAATTCAGTTTTGCTGGAAGGAAGAGGCTAATAGGAATGTCACACTTTCAGTTCCCATCATTAGGTCAGTATGCTATTTACTCTGCTTCTTTCTTTGTCCTTCTTGCCACGGGTTAATGGATGATTCTGGTCCCACTCTCCACTAAGTATTCAGTCCATTTATGCCTAGGAAGCTTTATGAAAAAGAAATAGAGAATAACAATGTTGGATCTATGACAGCCAGGGATCTTTATTTATTCTCCAGCCAGTTTGGTGATTGATGCAATCACATTTATTGCTCCAGCAGGTATTTTCCAGATCTAAAGCAGAATATTTTCTGTCCTTGTCTTGCTTTGCAGAACCCCAACAGTAATTTTCCAGACATTATTTCCCTCTTGCATTTTTCTGTCATTTTGCTTCTCTTTCTTCCAGATTATTTCACATATTCTGACATAATCCAAGAAAACAACAGATGGCAACTTCATCCAAGTGGGTGTTATCCACCAGGACTGCAAAACAAGAGCTTGTTTTCCAGTAACTTCCTGCCTTTCAGGTTAAAAGTTGCAGAACCTACTGCAGTGCTCTAATGTGGGTCTCGAATGTGGGTTGGATTGTTTTAGGCAGTTAAGTCTGCTGTTTCCAGTAAAATGGGATGGAGCCCTGCCCTCCATCAAAATTTTGAATCCAGCTTCACTGACTAGATTTAGATATGGGATTTCTAATGTGCAATGCATGAGTAGCAGTGATAATGCAGTCCAGCAGAAGAAACAGAGGTAGTACAAAGAAAAATAGAATGTTGAGAAGTTATGTAGTTATGTGGGAAACAAAAAACAGTTGTCAGATTAAAAGACTTGGAAGAGAAGCAGTAAGGGGAGGAAGGGAAGAGAGAAGGAACAAAGAAGGAAAGGAAGGAGGGTCAGACAAAGGAGAAAAGTGTTAGAGAAGGAAGAAGAATGGATATAACATATAGGAGATCACGCTGAACTCCTCCTGAGCAAAGTTCCAGTTCTTCAAAACTTTAGGGCCTCCAGTTGTGCCAAAAAACCTCAATGAAAATAAATGCACTAAAAATTACACACAATGAGGCACATTTTTATTGGATTTCTTTGGATAGAAGTGGGACAGTATCTGTGTTTTGTCCTGACAAACAAGTAAGGGAAGTTTTCCTTCTGCTCTTCAACAAAAAATATCCTTTTCATCAGCAAAGAGGGAGGATTGCAAATACTTTGAGCTACATATGGTGATTAGCTATTAAATGGGGAAGTAAGCACAGAAGCATGAGAAAATTTAGCTCAGGTCACAGATGAATTTTCAGCTTTTTTTTTCTTTTACTGGGCCTTCTCAGCCTACAGCTTAACCAGTACAGCAGGCTACAGCTAATATATGTAATAACTGCTACTGAAGAAAGTGGTATGTATTATTAAAAATAGTGTCAGAACACAGGAAAAAATTCTAGGATAAGGGGGAACTAGAATACAGGGCATGTCTATTTTGACAGCTGAAGAGGTTTCAAAAGGCTTACAAAAAAGAGCAATTCAAATTAGACAAAGATGTAAGCAGTTAGTTGGCTTCACCTCACCTGCCTTTGGGTGTCTAAAGAAGCCCATTTAAGACTGAGTGAGTGAGGCAAAGTTCCCATGGGAAGGAAATAGATGTTTCAAAGTAACAGTTCATCTGAACTGTACCTGCCTTAGATTAAGAGGAACCGTTCTTTCAGGCTGTCTGTTTTTCTTCTCTAAGGTGGACCTTCTGCTGGCTGCTCAAACTTTGGTGACGTTTCTATTTGCTCAGGGTAGAGCAATACTAGGCAACCCAGGATATGCACTGTCACCACAGAAAGCATCAATACCTTGTTGAGATGAGGAAGACTTTTGTACTGAGGTCTGTGGTGAGTGAACCCTAGCCAACACCTGAACACCCACACAGCTACTCATTTATCCTCCTCTCACATGAAACAGGGAATAAACAAGCATCTGTGTAGATATTTGCACTTGGCTAAGGTCAATTCACCACATAAAGTGGAACTGAGCAACTTTATGCATTGGTCAGTCTTGACTAAAATCCTCTATTTCACCTACTTGTCAAGAGGACTTTGTATGTTGATCAACCTGTTGAATTAAAAGATTGCTAAATAAATGTTTACGAACCCTGGGAGCTATAAACGCAATCTGAAATACTGCTATCATTAAACATATTTGTCACTACCATTTCTTCCATCAAGAAGCAGAAGGAATCTAAATGATGGCTCTTTGCTGTGGACTTGTTAATAATGACAAATCTTTACAGAACCAAGCAATAGGGTTTGTGAAATACAGATGTCATATTTTTAGTGGCAACTTTTTGCCTGAACTAACATTCTTGGCAAGAAATTAAAATTAAATTACACATTCCCTGATACTGACAAGGAAGTAAACAAAGTAAAAATGATGATTTACTTACATACACATGCACAAAAAAAAGTTCGCTATATTTAGTTGTCTAAACACTTTTCCTGTTGGCCCCACTTAATTTCTCTGGTGATTTCAACTGCAATTGTTTGTTCAGTTTGTCTCCCTCTAGTGGATCGTGCCTTTTGTGTGTCAGTAGATACTTTTTTTCAATTTTCAATTTTTCCATCACTGGTACTGTGTGGCTATAATGTTATTATAATAATTGAATAATCTATACACAGCAATTACTCTATTTCATTCCTGATGACTGCATAGTTTAAACTTACATTTGTTCCTTTTGCCCCAGGTATCAGCTGTCTAGGCTACAATTCATGTAAAGTATTCTTAATCCTCTTCTCATGTAAAAAAAATACAATTACTGTATTGCTTTTTGGTCATTCTTCTGTCTTCTAGATGAGTTCAGGGACTGGATCAGTAGAGGCCTATGTAAAGCAGCCTTTTAAATGGTCTAGATTAGGACCTGGTGAAACAAAACAAAGCTAGGTACAGTTAAATCATTTCACAAATATGGAATGCTTTGTCTAAGCAAAAGCCTGTAGCAAGCATGATATTTCAGCAACAAAGATAAATATTCTATTGCTTGATGAATATAAGACAATATGGCCTAGACTAATCTTTCAAAGGATCAATATGTAATTTGGGGAAGAATGTATTTAATTATAACCAACACAGAATCTGTCTTGGACTTATTTATATCATCTGCATTGTGATCTTAGTGTTTCTGTGGTGGATAAGAGCCCTTCTGTGCTTAACATCTATTAACCACAGCAAAAAGGCTTATTTCTTTTCTCAAAGATCTTACACTACAAAAGATGGAGCAGCCAAAAACTGGACTTGGCAAAGGGAAGGTGGGAATGGAAGAAGCAAATAAGAATTGATAGTTGAACTGTTGCTGAATATTATTTGTATTAGCACAGGCTGTCAAACATCTTTGTGACTGCTGTATTTTATGGGCAAAGAAAAGTTTTCAGGTTTACAAACACAGATATGAAGAAGGAAAATCTCATGACCACCGGTACTACTATGTTTGAACGGGCACAACTCTTCCAGAGCAGAAGTTTCTTCCTGTGAATACATCCAAATTGTACTGTTTATTTTCTTTCCTTTTGTGCTTTGTATGCCAGATAGCACTGATAACAGATAACACTGTTCAAGTAGGACATAAAATAGATTCTGTTGTAATTAAGCAATTAACTGCACAATTAAATCTGAAGTTAGATAAGTGGTGTGAGCTGTACTTCACAACTACTTGTGAAATTACACCCAGGTTTATTTGTTCCCTGTTCACTGGACTCCCACCTTCCCTTCTTCAAATTCCTTCTAATACTTATGGGAATAATAATTAAGAACAACAGCAAAAACCCTCACCTCCAAGTTTCTGTATACTGAGATACTAAGCCACCACACTTTTAATTGGGCCCTTTCCAATTTTTGCCAATTCCCTCAAATGGCAGCAAGCTGATTCATCTTTCACCAGCTTAGAGAGTGGAGAAAGGAGCTCATACCCATTCCCACTCCCCTTGGGAGTCAACTTGGCAAGGGATTTCAGGGGTTGATCTGGATTGAAAAATTGTGTAAGAGGGCATTAGTACCTTGCCTTCCTTACCTATTGTACTCCCTGCTTCCATAGCACACAACACAGTGGTAATTAGATTGTCAGCCACTGTTCGTGTAATAGAAAACACAGCCAAAGCACTCTCAAGTTTTAACAAAAAAAAATCCTCTCTCCCGTGAACTTGTGTAATTCTTCTCCTTGGACCGATTCTGCTAACGCCTACCCACTTGAATAACTGTACTCATTCTTTGAAATCAAAGTATGACTGACTAGTTGCATGCAAACTGGCTTAAGCCCTTAAATTCTGAGCTTTTGAAGACAAAACTGCATTAGACATGCTTTGTGCTGCTCTTGAACCACTTTAGGACACTATGAAGCAAGGAAATAAAAGTAGAAATGGAGGTAAGGTTTTTAAGATGTCCTTAAACTGACCTTCAGAAAGAACAAACAATGAACACTGAGAGAAAATTTTTCAATGAAGAGGAATATTGTCCCAAGTGTAAACAAAAGCTCCACAATCCCATTTAAGCATTCTTAGAACATTAATCCATTTAAGATATTAAGACAGAAAAAGACCATTGCTGAGGACAGCAAGTGAAAGTTGAGATGGGTTGGGTTACTCTGTCCAACTCAGAGACATATAATATTTCAATTCTGAAAATACATTCAGAGGAATTGGAGGTCTTTTCTTATTTAAGAGGCTCCATTGTGGACTTAAAAAGTGCTTATTTTACCATATTGCCACTTGTAAAACACGGGAAAAAAATCCACCTCCTAATGTATGAGCTAACCAAGTACAGATAGTTTAACCTCTTCATAATTATCATTTTCACATTTCTTTCACTTGTCATAAAATGGAATCTTCCCAGACAGACTGATAAAATTATATAGGTAGCTGCAGTACCTCAAAGAGAACAGGTGAAAGTAACTTTCATACTCATACACACTGAAACTCTGGTTGACCTAAATAGAAAGAGGTTTTTGTATCTCCTGCCTCTTTTTTTGAAGTCTATCCTCCTTTCATGCAGTAATAACTCTAATTTTCAATTTGAAGTGTGTCGTCTGAACGTAATGGAAAAGTAAAACAAAGAGCTGAAACAACAGCCAGATTGTTAAAGGTTTGTCTTTGCCTATTGCATAAAAGATAATGCTTCTGTATTAAAAACACTAAGAGAATTCTAGTGAAGTTGGAGTTTTCCTGGAGGATCTGTGTCAAACAATCTTGTCCTGAGAAAGTGAAGATTGTACTTCACTTCAGATGTAGACTTTGAGAGATGAATGACAAACTTTCTCAAGGTCTTTTCTTTTAGAAAGAAAATCCTATCATGGCCTCATGACAGCTGGCTTGGCTTTTTTTTTTTTTAATTTCTTACAAAATTTTTAGGCCATTCTTAAAAACAGAATTAATCAATTTTCAGTTTAAAATTCCCAGAAAGAAAGTAATCTCATTCATTCTAATTTATATTAAACACAAGAGATTATATTAATACTACTCTGTGGGATTTCAAATCTCAGACCAGGTCATTTAGAGCTATTTTAAATCTGTATTTTCTTACATGTATAGCCTGTGAAGGTTTTCATTCTGTGCTCATGTAATGCTAATGCAGTCATGACATGCAGGCCACAATTCCTCTTCCCACAGATGACAGCATGGAAGGCACAATTTCATGTATTTTATTTACATTGACAAGGTCGAGGAGTCAGGCTGCTGACTGTGAACTCTCCTGTTAGATGGACCCAGAACATATGCCAGCAGGGAATTCACTGGCAGCTCCCTCAAGCAAGGACTTGGGATATTAATGTCTAAATGGAACAGCTGGGTGCTCACCTCAGCTTTCCTTCTGGAATAAATATTTCACTGTGTGCTGCTCTGCCCTGTGACCACCCAGATGTGTTTACAATTTTACATAAAAGTAATGCCTACAGAGAGGTCAAAGGCTCAGGAATGAGGCAATAAGTATTTTCATCTTTTGGGAACATGTAAACCCCATAAAAGGCCTCAGGCTCTACTGCACTAATGTTGTAAGTTTTGCAGCTAGAGTATGGTAAAGCTGTATTCATTAACAGCAAACATGAGCTTGTGAGATTGCCTCACAGTTTATTGAAACTTAACCTTTGTGATACATTGAATTAACCTGCGCTTCACAGGGATGACACTGAATTATGGGGGAGCAACATTATTCCTGTCTTCAGGAAATCTGGCATTTTCTTAATGATTTTGGGTCAAAGGCATATGCCACCAATGACACTTTGGAGGTTATTCTGTGCAATCCTCTGTAGACAGCATAAGGCAGTCTATGGAGACAATCATTAGGAAAAGCCAAGTTGTTTATAACTTAAGGAAAAAGGAAACCTACCATTTCAACATGAAAAGGGAGAATCATTGATCAGATTTTGCTTAGCTCTTAATGTATTAACAACTCTACTAATCGTTGTGGCTGCCTTTGAGCTGTGGGCTGCATCTGGAAAAGTTTTAGAATATAGGCAGATAAGACTGGGAGGGAACCAGTGTATTTTACCCAGATATTATTCCATTATACTGTCCATTCTGCTAACCAGCTTTGTGCACAGTTGCATAACACTCCAGCTCTAAAGTCAAACACTAAATACAAACCTGTGAAGTTTATTTGGCAGATATCTTACACCAGTGTTGAGGTGGGTGAAGAAGATACCAGATTTGTTTTAGAGGATCACGACAGCCATGAAGGACACAGGAAGGACACCAGTGCCAGTGAACATATGTCTAATGCAAGAGCAGATTAATCAAGTAAAACACAAGCAAGTTGATACCCTACATTGATTATTAATGTGTATCAGAAATAGTGGGGCCAGCAGGACCAGGGCCGTGATTGTCCCTTGTGCCTGGCACTGGTGAGGCTGCACCTTGAATCCTGTGTTCAGCTTTGGGTATCTTACTACAAGAAAGACATTGAGGTGCTGTAGCATGTCCAGAGAAGGCAACAAAGCTGGCGGAGGGTCTGGAGCACGTCTTGTGAGGAGCAGCACGTCTTGTGAGGAATATGGAGGTCTTCAGCCCAGAGAAAAGGCTGCCCAGGAGAGAGCTAATTGCTTTCTACAACTGCCTGAGAGGAGGCCATAGCCAGGTAGGGGTTGGACTCTTCTCCCAAGTAACCAGTGATAGGACAAGAGGAAATAGCCTCAAGTTGTGCCAGAGGAGGTTTAGTTTGAAAATTAGAAAAAAATTCTTCCCAAAAGCGCTGACAAGCCTTGGAACAAGCTGTCCAGGGACACAGAGGTATTCAAAAGACACGTAGGTGTGGTGTTTAGGGACATGGTTTAACACTGGATTTGCCAGTGTTGGAGTAAAACAAACACAATCTACAGGTCTTTTCCAACCTAAATTAGTCTATAATTCGAAAACACACATCCTTGAGTTCCTCAGATTATAATAGTCACTATCCAGGTACTGTCCTCTTTGGGAGGTGAGACAGCAACAGGATCTTCAATGTGTGGATTTTCTTGCTCACTTTTCTTGAAGGGGTCATTGTCCTGAAGTGTTAACACTATGCTAGGTAGTCCCTAAATCCACTAGCTCATACATGAGCATTGTCAATGCATGCTAGGCTTTATCAATCTACGAATATCTGCGAAGCCAAAGAAATCCCAGTGTCTGGTCATCTTACTAATTCACTATGAAAATTTTGTATCAATAGCAACAACAACAATATAGTTATATTTCACACATATTGTGATATATCAACAGTATTGTCATATTTCATGTAACAATACCATTTTGGTATTTAATTCCTGAACATTTGACTTCATGCAGTTCTGAAATCACTAAACTGCTATATTAGTTTATTGTAACTTTTTTTTTCTAGAGTTAAAAGAAATAATAATTACAGAAATCAAATAAAACAACCCTCCTGCCTCAAAGTCCAAGTAATGCATTATCAGAAGAGCAGAGACGCCCCTACCACTTAGACAAACATCATGAGTGAATGAGTTCTACATATTTTCAGTGGATTTCATAACTATTTTTGTCAGTAGAAGAAAACTGAGGATTCCAGTGGTGCTCAGATGTAGAACACAGTGGTCATGGTCCTTTCAACCTCTGTCTTAACCTCATCCCTCGTTACTATTGAAAAACACCTGAAAGATGATACAGTCATTGGTCACAGCCAGCACAGCTTCTTCATTACAGGAAAGTCCATTTATCAGACCTAATTTCCTTTTATAACAAGGTAATTCACCAGATTGATCAAGAGAAGCCAGTTGATGTAATCAAGAAGGTACATCAGAGTGTCTTTGCCACTCTGTCTTTGCCATTCTCTCTGGCCATGAAGGAAAAATAAGAGGGGGTAGCCTGGCTCAACCAGTGCAGTCTTCTTTTAGATCATCCTTCACATAAACAGAATATGTTGACCTACCTGTTAAACTATTATATATTTCCCCAGTTTTCAGAAGCTCGTGATTCACACGTACAAAAAGTGTCATCAAAAAGCATATTTCTGAAACCAGAATGACAGTCTTAGCAGAACTCTACTCCTTGATCTAAACCTCATGTTTGGTGAAGTATCTACTTTTAGAACTGTTTTCATGTGAGTAAAACTAGATGCAGATTTATCAAGCAGGACAAAGATTTTAATCTTTATTCTCCCCTCCACTCTCCAGTAACACCAGGGAAAGCAGTATGCATTTTCTTCATGTGATGTGGCTGCCCAGCCATGCAGCCTTCCCAGTCGCATAGGGCGTATGGCTGCTCCTGAATAAAACTTTGTCTTTTCTTTTTTTGAAAAGTGACTTAGCTATTTTTATCCAAGTTTTCAAAAGAAGCATTCTGCCTGCAGCAGAAATCCAGCATGAGAAATTTCTACTCAAACTATTAAAGAATGGTAGGGTAACTACTGAAAACAGATGGAGTTTGGCATAAGAAATTGCAGATGCCATCATTCATGGCCTTTATACTCTCTAAGCATTCAAACTGCAACACATACTCAAATGTTCACTACCACTCATTTCTCATTTCTATTAACTTCTGTGTTCCTTAAAAAAAAAATAAATAAATACAGGCTTTTTGGTTGTAATACTGATCTTCAAGAAATGTACTTCCAAGTAGCTAGGGGCTATTAGGTCAACCTTCCACTCAGCAACCAGGTGTCAAGAACCTCCCTACCTCAATGTCATTATTTCTTACAAAAATCAATGATGACTTTATGCTTACTCACGGTTTTTGTTCAGTGTAACAGTGCAAACAGCACAGAGAAACTCAGAGACAGAGGGGTATGAACTGACACCAAGAAAGCTAATGGATTGGATTTTAATAGAGACGGTTTTAATTTCTTGAAGGAAGTTGCCATACAAACAGATAGCAAAAATACTTAAATCCTTAACTAAAAAGGTAGTAATTATATATTCTGGAGTGAGAAATCTATCATAAACACCATTTGTAGAATGAATTATAGCACTGACTCTTGCTTATAAGAGTGTAAGGAAAGAGGTGGATATTCTAATAACCATTACATTTAGAGAAAGGCATAATGAATGAAAGTCAGTTTAGCAAAAACTAGGAGGTAAGACACTTTACATTAGAACCTCCACATCTTATTGGTGGATCCATTTCTTCCTTAATATCAACTTGGATTAAACTAGGGGACAAATTTAGGATTCAAGCCAACAAAGAAGCAGCTGTGCATTTCCATTTTTATCTGATTTATATTGTTACAAATCAATTTCATATAAGAGAAGCACCTTCTGGTATATCAAAGATTACTAATAGTGAATTAGAGTGGCTCCATGGAAATAATAGTTATATTTGTTCAAAATTTGTTCACAACAGAAGTCTGGCACTCTCTACATCTGCTATCTAAAGAAAGACATCAGTGGTTACAGCTAATTTGGGAGAACAACTCTAAGTTTTAATCCAAGGAAACTAATTCTGCCTAACTGAAAAGAAATTATACAGAAGTATCCTCTTCAATGGAAAATCAATGGTAAGCAAGGCCTGCCTCAATGGCTTGACTTTCTCTGTTAGTATCACCAGATGGAACCCACACCACTAGGGAGTTCTCTGAATTCTAAGAGACTTACCTTTTTTGTTTCTTCATATTCTCTGGACATAGTTTCCAAGGAGTTTAATGTTAGACCTGTGCTCTAAACAAAGCTTTAACAGTAAATGAAGACTGAATTACTCCTATTACTGCAGTCCAGCCATAAAATTCAGGCCTCAGTGCATTCAGTGGGAGATTTCCTATGAAGCTCAGATGAAGCTAGGATTTCATCTCAGCTTCTCTGTTCTTGTGTAGTAGAACTGACTACAACTAGGCAGAGGTGATGCATTGTTCTTTACAGTCTGCACCTGTGTCTAATTTAGTCTTGCAGCTAGAGCTACACAGCAAAATACTTGACAGCTACTAGAGAGAATAATAGTCTGGAAACTGTCAACTCAGAGGGATGCTTTTAGAGCTCTCACTCTGGAGTAAGTCCTTTTCTGTTTAATCAAAGAAAAAGTATTTTTGTTAAGAAACTTGACATTCTAAATAAGAGTGCTGTTAAGTCAGGGAATAAAAATATGAAATTGCTGTTTGTTACTGGTGCTGTAAATCTTGCTGAAAGCCTTCACAAACGCACCAGATGCAGACTGCTAAATCCTTCCACTTCATGACAGCACCGAACCACTGACGAAATCACGCATTCCACAGAGAGGATTGAGCAAGTACCAGATATGTAAAGCCTGTATGCAACAGTTACAATTAGCAAGTGAGGTGGATGCCATACTCCAGCAATAAATTACTATTGTACAGCCAGATAGAATTTCACACGTATACAAGAAAAAGCTTGATTCTATACATTCACACAATTACATTAAATTTTGAGTGCTGTCAGGACTGAGTGTATAGCCTAAAAACAACATTCAAGTTGTGAATCTAAGTGTTTGTGTGTACATGTATATGTGCAACAAAATTACCATCTGCATAATTATGCACAGAGATAACAATGTTTCCATTATATCTTTCACAGCAACAGTTTGAAAATCAGTAAGTATAGTTTTCTCTTGCTGCAGATGGAAAGCTGGAGGCTGAACTCCAGGCTGAATTTGAAGTTGTGTAAAAGTTGATTAATTCAGAATTTTAAGACAATGCTTTTAAAAGCAAAACATTTTATAGATACGTGACTCAGAAAGGGCTGAAATTTAAAGCATTTCGCTTGACAGGTGCATGTATATACACACACAGAGAGGTAAAAGGAGGCTTTGTACATTCACAGTGTGAAATTACTGTGAAAACATCGTGAATCTGTACAAAACTGAAATGTCTCCTTATTTTCAGCATAGCATAAACCTATTCAGCATTCAGGTGATGCATTGAATCACTTGCATATCTGTTGCTATTGATTCTTTTTTAAATAGCTATGACAAAGAGGAAAGATGTAGTCTTCTAATTTAATATCCCAGATTGCTGAGATATATTCATAAGCCACTCCACTGTTATTTTGCCTCACTGGCCTTCTACTCTGTTCCAGCAGACCTTCTTGTTACTTCGCCTATCTTTAGCCTCCAGCATTTGTGATCTCCAGCTTACAAGAAATTAGGGCAATATCCATAAAAGGATGTTTCAATTTAGTTTATCCTGCCTTAGACCCAGAAAACAGGTTCACAGACCTATATTAGGTACTAAGAATAGAAATTATACCTAACCAATACCCTAGCCAACAGGAAATGCTGAAGATCGTGAAATTTCACCTCTCGTGTTTAATGCCCCTAACGCTGAGCTACAGAAACATCTAGGACGAGACCAACATTCCTAGTTCGTAGTATCTTATGGGGATTTAGAAGTCTAGGTTGTCTATGTTTAAACTGATGCTTAGCTCCCACTTTAATGACTTTCCTTTGGGATAATTGCTCAGAGCTGGAAACATGCAGGAAATGGGAGGTTTACGGGAGCGAAAACCTCCCGGCTGAGACAGCCAAAACCTGAAGTACAGCTGATACAGGTGGTGGCTTCAGCTTTGTGGAAGCTTCTACTTCCACAAAGGTCCCTCTTTCTACTGGTGCCGAGATCCAAGTCTCAACTGGATTTTCCTTGGAAGTAGGCTTAGTTATCGTGAAAGCTTCGGCCTTCCACAAATTATTCTAAAACTTATTCCTGAGCTTTCACATAAATCCAAGAGCATTACTTTTAGCTGGAATAGGCCGGTTTTGAAGTCTATTTCTGCAACGTGACCTTTTACAAAAATCTCACATCTAAGCCAAACGTCACTCCGGAGTAACTCAAATTCCTCCTGAAGTACGACATGCCTGAATCCCGAGAAGGCAGGCGAGGGGCGGCCCTGGGGCCGGAGGGCCCGTGAGCTCAGCAGCGGTGGAGAGATCTGAGGTAGGAAATACCTTCGCCGCACGAATCCACCTCAGCCACCGCTGCCCCGCCTGGTTCTGCGGGCTGTTTCAAACGTTCCCCTCATATAAAAAGAAAACTCGCTGTCCTCGCAGCTGACCGGCACCGTCCCGAAGGGCCGCCCCGGGCTGCGGTGCCACGGCCCCGCTCCGGCACGTCCCCGCACCCGGCGGCACCGGCCCACGCCGGCCCGGCCCTGGTTTCCGGCGGGACTTTGTGCG